GTTCCGTAGCGACACTTCTATCGCCAGTTTGACCCAAGGTGTCTGGTGATCCTTGCGAAGTCCATAAACGGACTGGAATCGATAGAGATTCTCCGCATTGATGGTTTTGCGAAGTTCGTTGGCCTCGAGGATCAGTCGCTCCGTCGTCTTGGTAGCCGCATCCGGTACTTCCTGAAGCTTCTCCAGGGCAGGATCCCACTTGAGAGTTTTCCACTCCCCAGCATCCGTCAACCACCCCATGGCTCGGGCAGCTTGCATGCTCTCTTCGCTCTTGGCAGTATTGGCCAGTCGATTGCACAGCTCGATGAGGAAGGCTTTCATCAATACAATCCGTAGCGACGAGTCTATGAGATGTGGGCTCTCTTCTTGAGTCCGGATCCATTTCTCCGACGCGGAGAACAAGATTGGAATCAGGCCTTCGGCTCCCGGCTTGACGAACAAAAACATGCTGGTGTCTTGTCGCAAGTTGCCCAGGGCATATTCGTGGCGCAGCGTCAGCTGGCTCAATCGCTGTACGGTGCTCTGTAGGTCGTGGTAGGTCAGGTCTTGCCCCCAGGAGCCTCCCCATCGATGATCGTGAGGATCCTCCGTCTGGCTCCAATGGCCTGAAGTACGCCAGGAGGTCTGTCCCCCTTTGCCCTTGCCCTTGCCCTTCCCTTTGCCTTTGCCCTTGCCTTTCGGCGTTTGAGGTTGCTGCCTTGGCCATGATCTGGCAGCTTCCTCGAGTCGTGCCTTCTTCATTTCCGGGGAGTCTTCCTCTCGTTCCCGTTTCGATACAGGGTTGAGGAGGGACGGGCACACTCCACCAAAGAAGTTCTTCTCCTGTGCTGAGAGCTCCATTGGCTCCATTGACAACGGCAGGGATACCCGCAACAAGGCCTAGGTAGCAGCTGACTTGGACAACCAGACAATTTCTCCAGTGTGTATGCTTGTTAACAGACTGTAAGCGACAATATCTACAAGGGAGAACCATGTGCCTACGAAAGGACGTCATATGAGGCATAAGACGGGCAAAGTGCTGTACCCATTCATCATGTTGTTGTGTCATATGTCGCTTGATGGCCGCCTGATCCATGCACCATTGACGACAGAATGGACAATGATGCTCTAACTCAAGGCGTAGCTCCTCACAATGCAGTAAGGCATGCCAGCCAGACTGTACAAGGATGGACCGAATGGACGGCCTCTGTGTAAGCGGTAGGGGTTCAGTAGCTTCGACCTGTGGACAGGCGCCAGGGGCCACACAAGCAGAGCAGACCTGGACAGAGTGAGAGGGGGCACGGATTACCTCGCCTGTGACAAAGGCTGCAGGTACAGGCTGAACAGACACACCAAGGGCACGGCACTGTCGCTTGACGATGTGCTTCTGGAGGTTGTGCCACTTGCGAAAGTGGTGTCCACAGTGTTTGCATGTGGGCATGCCGTCAACACTATGTTCCCAGCGATTAAACACATAGGTACCCGGCAGGGGCTGTGGGGTTTGTGAGTCATGAGCACGAGATTCATGTGACCTGCGCAAACGGTGTGTAGCGAAGAATCGACCACAATAGCGACACTCAAACACAGATTCAGGTCCTGTGGGCATCGTGCAGGAAGAAGCAGTCTGCTCTGCAGTGAGACATCCTGCTCGTAATGTGGCACGGATAAATTGCATATGTTTGTGCAGACAATCGGTCACCAGGAAAGAGTCCTGTTGTGCGAGCCGATGCACGTTGTTAGCAAGTCTAATCATTTCTTTCTCCAGGATGGCACAGATGTCTGGGAGGCGCGCCTGGTCAAGCACCTCTCGATTGCTAACATGGCTTAGATGGGCCGGGCAGCGAAGAATCGCCCTCAAATGACGCATGTAGATGCTTCGAAGCTGCCTGCCTCCCGCGGTCGGGAGTCCTGTGGCAGCCAACCCATAAAGCAATGTGGGGGGGACGCTGCTGAACCAAATACGCAGCCGATCCTGCTTGAACAGGCCATGTCTAGAGCACACAAGTTTGCGAAGTCGACTCCACTCCACCTTGGCAAGTCCCATCCGATACACCAGTGTTTGTAATTGAGGGTCCGTGTAGCTAATTTTGGTACCTAGGTAGGTATGAGAATCAACCACCGGAAATTCAAACAATCGTCCCGAGTCCGTGCGGATACGAAACAGTGGTCCATCCGGGCCTTGGGCAAGGTGTTGTCGCAGCCATCTTTTGGCAAAACCTCCTTTGAACTTGTATAAAATCGCAGATTTAGAGGTATTAATGATCATACCCGACTGGACAAGGAGTTCGAGGAACTGGCCAAGATAGCGTTCGGCAGTCTGCAGGTCCTGTTGGTTATGAGCCGTGGCAGCAGCATGGAAATCGTCTGCATATGCCGTTATGTGCTGGGAGACCCACCGAACATCCGTGACAAGTGCTAAACGGTATAGCAACCTGCCAGTTACGAGGGACCAAATGAGAGGGGCCACTAAACACCCTTGCTTCAGGCCTCTGCTCGCAGCTACTGACTCGGTGTGGTCCTGAATAGAAAAGTCATATCTGATATTCCGGTACCACTCAAGGAGATGGTCCTTCAATTCAGTGGGGACACCCGCGTCATCTAAGGCCTCAGCCATGTGCACCCATTCTAACACATCAAAGGCCGAACTTAAGTCTAAAGACAATTGCAAGCCACCGGCATTTGGTTTGGGCCGAGATAACCCCGCCCGAGCTTCCCTAACAGTCCAACAATCAGGGGAGCAAAGATGTATGATGTGTTGGCAGTGCGCCTGCACACGAGCGGCTGCATCGAGGGTGCTCCTACCAGGTATGTAGGCCCATTGGGGAATGTCCTCTAAGTATTTTTCTACGTATGGACGCAGACGGTCCTGTAGGACTTTGGTGACCATTCGATTGGAAACCTCACTGAGTCCAATCGGCCTCAGGTGCTTCGGCAGCGTGGGCTTGGATATCTTGGGTATCAAAGATAACCATGCTGGGTGCCAGAGTTCCGGGGTAACAACCAGATTATTGACAATCTCGGTAAGTCGGGGGAGAACTACCTGTGCACAGAGTTTCCAGGCTGCCAGCGGGGCAAGGTGGAGTGGTACTGCCTTGTGGGTGGGCATCAGAGACAGTGCACGCCCCAGTTGGTCTTCAGTAACTTGCAGCGCTGGCATCTGGGAAGAACGAGGAGGCTGCGGCTGTAGACCTGTGTACACGGCCTCGTAATGACGTTGAAGGAGGGCTGCTTGCTCAGCTGGAGTGATGATATGACCTTCCTCGTCACGTAGTTGAACATGCACTCGACGTGACTTCGGCGCAAGAGTACGCACACCCTGGTATAGGGCTCGGACATCATGACGGCGAGCATGTTTGTTGAGTTCATCAAGTTTCCCTTGGTACCACTGCTGTTTAGCAATTCTGCCCGCTGAGCGAAAAGCTCTGTGTGCCTTTTGGAACTTGGCATAGTGGAACCAGACCTTCCAAATGGTGGCAGTTGTACCTCGGGCAGCGGCTTTCCACTGACGATAATGCTGCCACATGTCCTTGACACTGGTGTCTAGAGTGGCCATCTGCCACGGGGCATTGGCATTTGCTCGGGCTCCGACAGGAGCATGCATGCTAGCGGCTTGCACCAGGCAATCATTGATGTCCTGCACATTGGAGCAGCTGCCAATGTCGCATGCCACCTGCTGTATGAGGGCTTTGGCTCTGGGATCGTCTGGTGCTCGCACCAAGTGCAGGAGCGTGGATTTGTCCCAGCCAGTCTTAGGAGGTTGCGGTGGCCGATTGAGGGCAGCGAAGCGACGAAGGTGTATGGCTCCACTGAGTGGAAGGTGTTTCCCTCCTTTGCGCCATTCACCTATGCGGAGGTTATCCCTACCAGTATACCGGGCAAGCATGTCCGCGCTTTCACCTCTAGTGAATACATGATCGATGAGGGTACGTGTATCACCCCAAACGAAGGTAGGACCCATTCTCTTCGACCATGAGTTAAGATGTATTAAGTCATGATCCTCAAGGAGATGAATGAGGCGCGATGCATCAGATGGGAGACGGCTATTCCAGTTAGCAACACGGGGTCCGGCTCGTTCATGTTGCTGCATCGGTGTATTGAAATCACCTAGAAGCAAGAGAGTGTGCCGGACAGGAAGCTTGGTTAAGGTATGATGAAGCGAGGTCCAGACTTGTTGACGAATCTCATAGGCAGTGGGCTGTTTTGGATCGCCAGGTGCTGTGACATCCTTAGAAGGTCGCTGCCAGTTCATTGTCTGCTGATATACATTGACACAGTCAAGGGCCCAGCACTTCGCAGTGATGCGGACGTGTAGTATTCGTCCTGGGAAGGGCTCCCCAAATGAGAGCACTGCATGCCGAGTCAGGGATCGGTGTATGAGGAGCATCACTCCTGCTGATCGATTGTCGTGACGATGGGACTGGATGATCTGCCATACACCCGTGGTGTATTGCTGGGCTGAATCCGAGCTCCAGTGCGTCTCTTGCAGAGCAACAATCTGTGGCTGCGTCTGGGCAGGCATGGCCTCCAGGGCCTTCAAGAGTTCCACATAGAGGTCATGACTCAAGCCTCCACAGTTAAGACTGAGAAAACGGACATGTGGACCAGTGGGCTGAGGGCCACGGACACGGGCCGGTCGGGCAGGTACTGAAGAGGCCTGAGGCAGGTATTGCTGTGATAGTCCACGTAGCGTACACCATCTACCCTTATACATCGTGCCTCCGTGCTGGGACCGGGCAGCCCTTGTGACAGCACGTTTGTAGGAGCGCTTATGGACTCGTGTTGGCACCTGTGAGGCAGGGTTAGAGCCGGCAATGGGTGCTGTCGACACTGGGTGCGTAAGGATCGGGCGGACACCTTGCAGAAGTAGTGTCGAGAATAAGAGCCGACTGGGTCTCATCGGCAGCCGTCTGGAACATGTGGAAGGGTAAGGTGGGACAGGCACAGGGGCCGTCGAGCATGAGTGCTGCGGCGTGTATGGTGCACAGAAAGTGAGTGGACTGGTAGTGCTGCAGGGATCTGGTGGTGATACATACCCGTAGGTCAATAAATCGCATCTAGATAAGGGATGGATGTGCGGGTCAGGGACACGTGTGTCTGCCTGATCAGATGGCATGCAGTACGGTGACCTAAAATATGAAGAAATATGAGTTTTTATCCTCTCAGGCCTTGGCTTCCCAAGCGAGGCAAAGGAGCATGCCCCACTCAGTCTCAGGGGTAATTGGCAGATACCCCCAACCCTCGGTTCTACCTCGCAGTGAGAGATAGCAGGCTGCTGGTAAAGATAGCGTAGCAGCTGAAGAATCAGAGATACGGCGAGGCCCTGGGACTTGGGACCCAGGTGGCTAGATGTGGGTGATGATGTGTGTGCTACACTCGGTTTGTGGTACCTGGCGGTTTGGCGTCTGGCCACTGCATAATTCGGGAGACGGACAGGTAACTTGGCTGCATAGACCTTACTTCTAGTACGTAGTCCCCAGCAAGGTCTGTGAACCATGGATAGTAACTGAGAGTCAGTCCAACGTCTCCAGTGAGCCGTGAAACCTGTCCGCTTGACTGTCCTGCTCAGTGTCCTCACTGTCGGTACATTGATCCTCGGGTCGGACCAAGTACAGTTGGCATCTGTCACACATCCAAGACAATTGAACATGGCAGTCCCAGGGACACGCCATGGGCCTATCTTGTTGGATGGGCTCGTGGATAATTCACGGACCTGCAGGCAGTGTAGTCGCATGTGGAGCACACCGGTGCAGCCAGTGCGAGCATCGGGCCAGGGTGTCTCGCTCAGAGAGACGTGACAGGAGAACTTTGTCAAAGAGGTGCCTATCGTCCAGTTGTCACTGGAACACCCCATTGCAGCAAACATGGATCGCCTATAGCATACCTGACACCGTGGACGCGGGTGGAAGACCACACAGATCCCGTGCTCCTGCAGGAGATAGGAGGAGCCCATCCTTTGTCGAGCATGTGATCTGAGTGCAGGACCCAGTGTTTGGCACAGACCTGGCTGGAACGGCAAGGCTGCTGTCCCCGTAGAGCAGGGAGGTCCAGGTAGCCCTATTGAGTAGATCGCAGCCTTGAGAGGCGTAGTGCTCGGCAGTGGTCTGGGCATCGGTCGGCCTTCCATGGGGCGAATAGAAATGGACGCCTGCAGTCTTGGGCTCTGGGCACAGGCCAGCAAGTTTCCGGATGTGGTCAATGGTGGTAGTCGGCGGCCTGTCACGGGGAACAGTAGGGGGCATGATCGTGAGTGCAAGGTCATGGTGGCAGTGCTCAGACCGGCAGATCCCAGCATGTATGCTCGCACGACAGAAGGCTGCCCCGGGCGGTGTCGCTCCTCAAGCCTCTGGTGGGCCCGAATCAGACGGTGAATGGCTTCACATTTGGGATGGCCAGTTATGCCAGCCAATTTAGCCTGAATTTGCGGCCAGTGACGGCGGCTGAACGCGAGGCGGTAACCGCATGTCAGTCTCCAAGCAGCCTGCACCGTGCTGGTGGTAAGGAGTTGCCATGTACAGTTCATCTCCCTGTACAACTTTCGCCAGTTGTAACTCCAGGGGCGTCGGAGACTGACGGCAATAAGCGACGTGCGCCAGCGTCGTGTTGTGCCGTTGGGGTTGGTGGCAGCTCGCGCATATTTCCATCCAGGCCAGCGTGAGCGTCTCATGTCAGCACCGCTCTGCAAGGGGTGAAGAGCATCATCCTTGCCTGGACTGGTCATACCCAGATCAAGCGGGGGACACGGAGGCTGCTCGGTCCTCAGATTGCCAGCCATCCCCATGGCCTGCCTTGCAACTCCAGGACGTCGCTTGGGACGGGGAAGTAGAACCTCTCTCCCATCCACCACTGCCGACCGAATGTCGTGGGCTGCAGCAAGCTGCAGCGTTTCTTCACTGAAAAGCCATCCAGGATGAGAGGGCAGGCCGGTCTCTCGAGCCTCCGCCAGAGTAGTGGCATTATCGGTCCTTTCGTCACCCAGTCCCTGGCTACTGGCGTTCTCCAGCATGACATCTACAGCCTCAGCCTCCTCTGTCTCATCCTGCTGTAGTTCGGCAGGCACTGCAGGCAGAGTCTCCTCCTCCTCGAGGATGACAGTTTCCAGGCTATCCTCCTCCTCGTCAGGTGCCACTGCAGGGCCTGTGGCAGCTGCACCCCTTGGCCTGGAATCGGCATCCGCAGTTGCAGCCAGCCGCCTAGTACCTCCAAAAACCGTAAGTGGCCGGGCTTGTTGAGGTCTCCTGGCTTGCCTGTTCGCCTCCACCGCAGCCCGGAGTTCACGGCGTTCCTGCCTCTCTCTTTTCCCAGGTTTATAGCGATGCCTTTTAATCGGCTGCACTGTGGGTGGCATGGCTGCTGCACTCAAGGAGAGGACTGGCAGGTCTCTAGAGGATTGAAGGTTACCAAATGTAGGCACTAGATATCGACAGTGTACAGGTGTGCCTAAAAGAAATCGAGGATCCTGGATGCAAAAGGACAGCGGAAAGTACCAGGGTTTGCGGAGAAATGGCGTTGCCATGTCAGTGCCACTGACTTGTGAGGCAGGCAACTGGCAGAGAACAGAAGAATTGTTACAACCAGGCCTTGCTGCATCAGTGAGAGCAGGGCTGGCCCTGGTCAAGCCTGAGGGCATTCGGTTGGGGCAATCACAGGTCTCAGCAGCGCAAGGTTGAGCATGCGGCCTGTAGAAAGCACGGCAGCCTCCTGGATCACAGCACGAGGAGTTGGGGTACCACGCTTCAGCATGTGTGCAGATAAGGTGGCAGCCTCTAGTCGGTCTTCCTCCAGCAGCTTCTGGCAAACACAGGGGGTTGACAGACAGGGAAAGACCGAGACCCGGCCGGCCTGGGCTTGCATCAGTAGATGTGCATTCAGCCAGATTGAGGCCTGAGGAAGAGAGGCTGCAACCGCGAGCCGGCCAGCAGACTTGGCACCCGGCAGTCGATTGGGCTGGAGCTGTCTCAGGTTCCATGAGTGAGGGCGGACCTGAAGGCTTACAGACGCTCACACGATACACACTCATGTTGGCAAATAGCACAAGCTGGTTGGTGCACAGTGGCTCAGGCAGAAGTGGCATTTTTCGCAAACGAAGAGGCTCCGCAAAAGATCTGCTGCACTGTGCTCGGGCATATGTATCAATCAGCGGCAGAGTCCACACGAGCCCGGGGGTCCGTTCTGATGACGATGTCAAGGTGGTACTCGAGGGAGTGTGGCAAGGAGATTGACACCCTTGGCCTCGAATCTGGAGCCATGCCCACGTCAGGTGCTGCAACGCTCGTCGTGACGATCGGGACTGTGCTGGCCGGTGCGGTAGATGCCAGTGTAGCCGCAAATGCTGCAGCCGGTGTGCCCGGTGCCGGAAGAGGAGGCATAGTGACAGTCGTGGTGGTCGCCAATGGCCCTGCTGGAGTAGGCGGCGGGGGACCCGCCGGAGGCAGGGTCCCTGAGTGTGTAGCAGTCGACGGATTGGCTCGGGTAGTGGTGGCATCATCATCAGAGCTGGTAAAGTGGATCGAATCGTCCGAGTCTTCTCCATCGATGGCACGTCCAGACCTGGTCTTAGCTTTCGCCATGGTGGTGGCCACAGACCCCTTCGCTTTCGGCCTGCCTGCTGGCGTCCTCGATCGTCCACGGCCCCGATCGGACATGCCCAGCCTAGTGACCTCCAGGCACAAGGGTGGTGTCCAGCTAGAAATCCCCTGGAGAGGCAGCTGCGCGGGAACACTGGCTGAGAGCCAGATGATACAGGGGAATTCATGGAATGCCATAGCTGCCATACACATGTGACTCTGCATGCTCTGGAATAAGTATGGGCACAAGCTGGCAAAAGGCGTGATCGCACCGGCTGAGTGTCGGACGGGCTTGTAGCTCCGGGAGGAGCTATGCAGCTATGCCAGCAAGGGGCTACTTCCAGAGCCCTGTTGCTATGCAGTGCAAGGAGCAGGGTTGCAAGCAGAAAATGCACCATCCTGCGCCCTACAGACAGGTTCTCTTCTCGGGCCTGCAGGCTTCTAGTGAGCGTACCGTTCCTAAAAGCAGGTCCAGAAGGTTCAAGCGCACAATTCATCACAGCTGAGAGCCAAGAACCTTAGTAGTAGTAGTAGTAGTAGTAGGAGGAGGAGGAGGAGTAGGAGGAGGAGGAACAGGAGTAGGAGTGGGAGTCGGGGGAGGAGCAGGAGTAGCAGCAGGAGCAGGAGTAGCAGCAGTAGTCGACGTCGTCGTAGTGGTCGTAGTAGTAGCATCAGGACTAGCAGAAGTAGTAGTAGCAGCAGCAGCAGTCGCAGCAGTAGAGTGGTAGCCTATACGTAGGTCATATCAATGTTTTCACATGTGTGTATATATATATATGTATACCTACATGTCGGGAGGCGCTTAAACCCAGAACCCCACACCTAGACCTTGGATTAGCAAAACTTCTCGCAAGCCTCTCATCTCAATCTGAGTCCAGGACGGGCCCAGGACTTCCTCTGCCTTCGGTAACGTGGCTGGTCCCTCGGATCCTGCCGATGGTGGATGATTCTGTATGTGCCGACATACATACATACATACATACATACATACATACATACATACATACATACATATATATATATACACACACCTGCATCGTATGTCTGTTTATCTGTCAATTATATGTTTAACATAATTCTCCATTTCTACCTTCAACAGGACTTAGCACCTGAGGTTTGAAGTGGGCTTGCCGGTACCCGGTTCTCCAGTGGTCTTCAGTCTGGGACTAAATAGAAAAGACGTACGTGAACAAAAAGATAGAGCATAACATGATATCATATCATGTTATACTATGTGGTAGTGCATTGTGCTGCACTGTACTATACTATACGATACCAGACAATACTATACCAAAGTATAGAACACCATACTACACTGCAGTTTACTATACTGTACAATACTGTACTACAGTTTAATAAAGATAGAATACTTTGATATGTGACAAGGTAGATTAGGTCATAATGTAGTATGTTCTGTTGTGCTCTGTTACATTCGGTTTTGTTGTGTTGTGCTATGTTATGTTTTACCATGTTACAGTATGTTGCATTGCACTATATTATGCTTCATCATATTACACTGCTGTAATTATACCACATGTGTAGATACATATTTATGTTTATATTTGTATATATATATCTTTCAAACCTGCATCGAACCCCACAAACCCCCAAATGCAAAGCCTCCTTCCAGTGCAACATACCTGTAAGCCCTAGATTAAGCCCTGCACGACCATATAAAAGGACTCAGTATAATTAGCAAAGATCTGCAAAAGGAGCTCTCCACAAAGGCAGCCCTCGAAAATACGGCATGCTACTCTGCCCCTGTATGAACTTCACACTTTTGGCCAACTTCATGATACAGCACACCGCCGCTAAATCCTGCTTGAATTACTTTGAACCATGCAAGACCATTCCACAAACCCTTAAAACAAGGGTGCTCAATGATGAGAGCATGGCTTGGTTAGAACAACAAAACAGTGAAATCCCGCAACTCGGAGTAAAAAAAAGTGGCTTCACCAACGACCCTCACCGAGGGCGGGGAACCCAAATAACATAGGGGGTGGAACAAATGCTAACAGTATCACGCTATAGCCCCTATAGACCTACCTACATAGAAACTTGCTGAAAGGCACCCTTCAAAGGATCCGGCTTCTAATTATTCAGGCCCCCATTCATACAACACCCCTTTAAAGCCTTATAAAACCGTGTCACAAAAAATCAGGAACCTATATTAAATTAAACCCTAAAGCGAACCTAAAACCCTGATGCAACTTCATATGAGTCGTCCGAAACCCAAATTATTCGAACATTAGTTTGAGTCTTTCAGGCTACATTAGCTTACTTGCCAGGCCTGGATCTGCAAAAGACGGCAGCCCAAGACTTTGATGCACCGCCTCAGGGCGCTCTCAAGTCCAATCCCAAGCCATAGCAGTGCCTCTTGAGAGCCCAGTAATAAGGGAAAATCTCAGATGTACTGGGTGCTATTGTCATGATGAACTTCCTAGAAGATCCATAAAAAAACTACGATTATGGAGTTAGGCCCCCCGAAACCATAGTAAGGATGGTCTTTTGGGGCCGACTTCCTTAGTTGTATATATGGACCCCCTGGGATTTTTTATGGTCTGAAAGAGTCCGCTGGAATGGTAGGTTTTTCAAGGCCCTCTATGGAGGTCCCCTAAACCCTAAACCCATATACTACTTAGGACCCTTTGGGCCTAAATCTTTGGGACTTTCGGGTGCAGCAGTTGGAGTTCACGGCGCAGGTTCAGGATTCGAAGCTCGTGGTTCAGAGTTCGGGGCTTTAGGGCTGTCGCGCTTCCGGGGTTGATAGGATGGCGGCATGCAGTTGTTTCTGCACCCTAAACCCTCAACCCTAAACTCTAAACCCTAAACCTTCAACCCTAAACCCTAAAACGCCTGAACATTAAACCCTAAACCCTAAACTCCAAAACCCTAAACTCCAAAACCGTAGTGTAGGAACCTGATTAAGAAACCCTGGCCCTACAAGCCCCACCTATATCAGGGCTCATGTTAAGAACCCCAATGAAAAGCCCAGGGTTTCTGAATCAGGCTCCTCTGTTCAACCCTAAACCGTGGGGCGCTCTTGTTGGGGGCCCAAACCTCTTAGACCTGGCGACGCCCTGACGCCGAAAACATGGGTTTAGGGTTTAGGGTTTAGAGTTTAGGGTTTAGGGTTTAGGGTTTAGAGTTTAGGGTTTAGAGTTTAGGGTTTAGGGTTTAGGGGTTAGGCCCTGAAAGCCGAAAACCCTTAGACACCCCAAACCAAAGCACCTTCGGATCGTTCTGGGTCGTGAACCTGTTAGGGTTTGGGGTTTAGGGCCTCTGGGGTTTTGGGGTTTAGGTACTTCGCAGCTGCTGGTTCGGGCAGAACTTACAAGGCTCTGAGGGATTCGAGGGGAAGGGTTCTTTGGGTGTGGGGTGGTTGGGGTTAAGGGCTTCGAGCCTACTTAAAGGATCATGGGACTAAGTAAGTAGGGTCATAATTAAGGTAACTATAGTTATATTTACTTATTATAACCCCAATTAAGGGACTTATAACCTTACTTTCTAAGTCCCCTGATCCTCCAAGTACTACAACATTCCAGCTCGTCTGTGCCCGCCGCCCACGGGAGAACCAACAGCTCAACAGGACA